TGTGTGTGTGTGTGTGTGTGTGTGTGTGTGTGTGTGTGTGTGTGTGTGTGTGTGTGTGTATTTGTGTGTGTGTGTGTGTGTGTGTGTGTGTGTGGCAATGGCAATCGCCCCATCCCCACGCAGCCCGCATCCACACCCCATGGGCCATGGCCGACGGCCCACCCGCCTCCGCCGCCCATCCTCTCCTCGCCCTCCTCCCGCCCCCTCACCGGGGCCCCGCACCCCCTTCCTCAATCCATCAACATCAACCCCCTGGACCCTCTTACCCTCTCCCTCGACCCCGGCCCCCCCCCCTGGCAGGTCTTGGAGCCGCTGCAGAACCTCGAATACGTCTACCTCAGATCCACAGATCTGACGGGCCCCATCACCTGCCGCCTTGTAGACTCGAAGCCCTACTTGAAGGTAACCCGCGACATCTGCAAACACAACATGAGCGGCCGACGCTGCTCGAAGCGCGTACCGCGCGAGCGAATGCGACGCCCCGCCTCGCGGCGCCGCGGCACCCGTGCTTGCGTCGCGCCCGATCACGCGTGCGGCAACCACTCAACGGCAAACTACACACACACACACACACACACACACACACACACACACACACACACACACACACATGCACTCAGACACACGCTGAAACACTCGCATGCGCGTGCACATGCTCATTTGCAAAGGTGTTGGACGTGAGCGACACGCAGGCGTCGGGGCAGCTGCCCGGCTGCATCGTGGCGGTGAGGCGTCGGGGGCTTTGGTGCTCGTTGGAGCCTGTGGGGCACCTGTGGCTGCGGGGGTCCCTTGCCGCCGCCGATCAGGGAGCGCGGCCCGGCGGCGGTGCTGCGCCGTCGTTCGCGGGTCCTGAGCGCCCTGCTTGGCAAGGGGATCATGCGTGGGTTGCAAACCTCGATCACAACACACTATCACACACACACACACACGGCGCACGAGCGCGCATGCACACACGTTGAAAAGCGTCCCCGCGTGCACACCACACACACACACACACACACACACACGCACACGCACAGAGAGCACTCAATAATCTTACTCCCCAACCCACCCAACCCACCCACCAACCCCAGCACCCGGCGATGGAGGAGCTCCACCTCACCCGCACCCTCATGACCGGCCCCCTGCCCGACAAGTTCCCCCAAGGCAGCCACATGCGCATCATATACGCGTGGAACGTCGACCCCAACAGCGGCGGCGTCTGGAAGGAGGGCGGCTTCACCGGTGGGCCACGCTTTTGAAGACAGGGGACGAAAACGGGAGGCCGGCGGCCCTGCGCTGTGTGCCGGCGGCGGCGGCGGGCCGGCGGAAGCGGGGGATGGGAAGCATCCCTCACTCCTTTCCTAGGTCTCCCCTGGGGATCTTCGACTCTTTTTGGGGGGGGTTTTTAGGGGTACAAATTTTGGCGGGCGTTCAGGGGGGGCGTCTCTGCAATGTTTGAATGCCCGCACGGGTGCCCGGTGCGGTCGGAGGAGCGGCACCCGGACCGCGTCGCTAATCGCCACTTCCCGCCCCCGCGCCGCGCCGCCGCACCCGTGACCTCGCCGCGAACCGCCCCCGCGCAGGCCCGCTGCCGCGGTCGCTGCTGAACGCCGCGTACCTGTCAGACCTGGTGCTCCCGCAGCACGGCCTGGAGGGGGAGATACCCCCGCTGCCTGACAGCGTGGTGTGGCTGGACCTGAAGGGCAACAAGCTGTCCAAGCTGCCGGGTGGGGTTTGGGGTTTTGGACGCTGTGTGTGTGCGTGCGAGCGCGTGTGTGTGTGTGGCTGGGTGTGAGTGTGTGTGTGCATGTGTGCGCATGAGCAAGAGGGCAGGACGCTGCACAGGCTGTCATACACTTCGGCGCACGCACAAACGCATTTCCCCAATTTCCCCCATTCCCGCCCTTTTTCGCCCTTCATGACAGTCGCGCTGCCGCTCAGCCTGACAGTCATGGACCTCTCAGATAACATGCTGACCGGGCCCCTGCCCGACATAACCGACAACACCCTGATCTGGGTCAACCTTACGAACAACGAGATCACGGGCCCGCTGCCGCCGGACTTTGGCGGGTCCATGAACACATTGGCTGTGCTGTCGCTCGCGAAGAACCGGCTGTCTGGAGGTGGGCGGCCCCACGCGCGGACGGACGCTCCTCGGGTCCAGGGTTTAGGGTCCAAGGCGCGTGCGGCGGGGGCCGGGGCGAGGGCGCGGGGGGCCCCCGGCGTGCGCTCGCCGCGGGCTGCCCGCTCAGGGGCGCCGCGGCGTCGCCGGCAGGGGTTTGCGTGGGGTCGGGTGCCACGCAGATAGCGCGCGCCGCGCCCTCCTGCGGCGCGCGCGGGTCGCCGTCGGTGCTGACAAGGTTGACCAGTATGAATGAGCGTGTGTGTATTTGGTTATGCCAACGTCTGGGGGTTGCGTGGAAGCGCTTGTTCCCCTTTAAAATTTGGATGCTCCATCCACGTATGTTTGCTGCTTTCTGAACATATCTGTCCGCTCGCCTTCCCCAGATCTGCACGCGACCAACTGGGCGATGGCGGAGCTGGAGATGCTCGATCTTTCAAAAAATGAGATCACCGGTGAGGGAGGGCCGTGTGTGTTGACGTGTGTGTGGGTGTGGGTGTGGGTGTGGGTGTGCATGTGTGTGAACGCACGGGTGCATGTGCGTTTTATGAGAAGGGAGTGCTTTGTTGACAGCGCATTCTAGATTGAGGCTTCCCCGAGGCAGCGCTGTGGCCACGCGCGTGCTGACACTTGTGCATACATAGATCCCGGCGCACGTGCAAACGCGAGAGGCGCGCCGCCTGACCCGGCTCAATCACGGCCCCGTCGAGCCCCGCCGCCCCTGAAAACACTTTTTCCGCTGCCGCGCCCGCGCGACACCCCGCAGGGAGCATTCCCGCTGACATGGCGGCCATGAAGGCTCTGAGCTACCTGAGCATAGCGTCCAACAAACTATCCGGCACCTTGGATACTTTCGCCAACGCGCTGCCGCCGGCGCCCGCCGACGAGCTCCCGCCGCGCAGCCCTGACTACGGCTTCGGGCCGGGCCCCCGCGGCGCCGGCCCGGGCGGCGCGTCGGCGACCGTGCGCCCGAGCGCGACGTTCGGGCGGCGGCGGCGGCTGGCTCAGGACGAGGGGCAGCAGCAGCAGGACGCGGCACC